ATACATGTACATTCATCTACCCCTTTCATCTACAATCTTTACATACACTATTCATATACCCCTTTTCATCCACAATCTTTACATACATGTACATTCATCTACCCCTTTCATCCACAATCTTTACATACATGTACATTCATCTACCCCTTTCATCCACAATCTTTACATACATGTACATTCATCTACCCCTTTCATCTACAATCTTTACATACACTATACATATACCCTTTTTCATTTACAATCTTTACATACACTACTCATCTACCCCTTTTCATTTACAATCTTTACATCCATTCTTCATCTACCCCTTTCCATCTACAATCTTTACATACACTATTCATCTACCCCTTTCCATCTACAATCTTTACATACACTATTCATCTATCCTTTTTCATCGACAATCTTTACATACACTATTCATCTATCCCTTTTCATCGACAATCTTTACATACACTATTCATCTATCCCTTTTCATCGACAAACTTTACATACACTATTCATCTACCCCTTTCCATCTACAATCTTTACATACACTATTCATCTATCATTTTTCATCGACAATCTTTACATACACTATTCATCTATCCCTTTTCATCGACAATCTTTACATACACTATTCATCTATCCCTTTTCATCGACAAACTTTACATACACTATTCATCTACCCTTTTTCATTTACAATATTTACATACACTACTCATCTACCCCTTTTCATTTACAAACTTTACATACATTCTTCATCTACACCTCTCCATCTACAATCTTTACATACACTATTCATCTATCCCTTTTCATCGACAATCTTTACATACACTATTCATCTACCCCTTTTCATCTACAATCTTTACATAGACTATTAATCTACCCCTTTTCATCTACAATCTTTACATGCACTATCCATCTACCCCTTTTCATCTACAAACTTTACATGCACTATCCATCTACCCCTTTATATCTACAATCTTTACATACACTCTTCATCTACCCCTTTTCATCTACAATCTTTACATACACTCTTCATCTACCCCTTTTCATCTATAATCTTTACATGCACTATCCATCTACCCCTTTATATCTACAATCTTTACATACACTCTTCATCTACCCTTGTGTCGTCTACAATTTTTACACTCTTCATCTACACCCTTCCCAAAACACCTGTATAGCTATTTGGTTGGCCTACTTATTCTTTGCTAACATTCATATTTATTTTAAATGTCGTTAAAGTAACGTAAATGAGCTTTTTGGTATAAGTGCCCAAACTGTAATTTAATTCAAATCTTTCAAAGTGTAGCATTCGACCGAGAGCGCATGGATGTCAGGACAATCTAGCCTCTATAATATCAACCACATTTATTAGTGAATTTCGAGAAATATTTCGAATTTAGCCATATTTCGCATATTTTTCTATGGAACTACTTAAAGTTTTGCAAATTAACCCCTAAAATTCTGGAGACGACGATCTAAATTTTGCTGAGTCAGCAATTTTCGTTTTTTTCATTGAAAACAGTACTTTTCAGCCTAAATTGCTACATTTCTGCTCTTTTATCAAGTAATTTGACGCAGTTCTTGCCAAATTATAGGAAACATACCCCAAACGTTCCACAGTGTGCGAAGTTCCAACATTTTGACCCTTTAAACCCACGAAAGGCCCAATTTTAAAGGGACGTATTCAGTAAACCTGCACAAAAGACAATGCTACTTGAACTAGCCATCAGAACTTCATAACAAGAACACAAATGTGTACAAAATGTCCCCACCTATGGGTGATCCCGTCAAATGGTTATCCTAAAAATGAGTTGACAAGACTTTACCGACACAATTTGAGGATGGAATATCCAAATTGGCCACCTTAAAATTTACCCAGAATGCCAAAAAATTCGTCAGTTCTGATGTAATCAAGGCTTTACAAACAAGATTTTAGGACGGAAAATCTAAAATGGCTGCCTTGACATTTATCCCGAATGCCAAAAAACTAATCTCTTCTAGATTTTCATACTAAGAATCATCCCTGAAAATTTGAAATTGATTTACCAACCGGTTCACCTGGAAATGCGTAGACAAAACTTAACAGACAAGATTTCAGGACAGAAAATCCAAAATGGCTGCCTTGACATTTACCCAGAATGCCAAAAAACTAATCAGATCTAGATTTTCATACTAAAAATCATCCCTGGAAATTTGAAATTGATCTACCAAACAGTTCACCTGGAAATGCGTAGACAAGACTTTACAGACAAGATTTTAGGACGGAAAATCCAAAATGGCTGCCTTGACATTTACCCAGAATGCCCAAAAACTAATCAGATCTAGATTTTTATACTAAGAATCATCCCTGAAAATTTGAAATTTATCTACCAAACGGTTCACCTGAAAACGCGAAGACAAGACTTTACAGACAAGATTTTAGGACGGAAAAATCCAAAATGGCCGACAATAAAAAAGTGATTATGAGTTTTTGCTGATTTCTTTTTACAAAATTATGACATATAACTACTGCTAACAATAACATAGGCAAAGTAAACATGAAATTATTTATAAAGCTACAAAATAGTTAAAGTATGAAAAGTGAAAAACACCATTCAATATGATACAAAGTATTATCGCGCGCTAACTTTTCTTAAAACATTCAAAATGGCGGACATGACTGAGCTAACAGGTCCAAAACCTAATCAGATCTAGAATGAAGTGAGCTGAACAAGATGCGTAAGTTTCAAAAGCAACTGTGAAGCCATTTTCTTAAAGTTTGCAGACAAGGATTTTAGCATTTGACTTCAAAATGGCCGACAGGAAGTAGGTATCGCGTCAAATTTTTTTCATCCACATCTAGATGCACTCATAAGTTATCCCTGAAAATTTGAAGGTGATATCTGTAGCGGTTTTGGAGAAAACTGCCGGACGTACGGACGGACGGACGGACAGACAGACGGACATACGGACAGACAGACGCGCCTAGGCCGACAATATGGCCCCACACTATGTGGTGGGGACATAAAAAACGAAAAATCAATGATGTTCAGTTTAGTAAAGTAGCAAATAGTCATACTCATGAGAGAATATAAATCACTTGTGCAATTTGCACAACTTTAAACAGCTGTTTTAAGTAGATTAGTATCGTTAGGGGCAAAAATCCCCCAAAATAGCCCAAAATATGTCCAAAAAATCAAATTTTTCACGCTCAGGGCTGAATTATTTTGCCTATTTTGCTACATTTATCAGTGCAGTGACAAGAAGTCTTGTGGATAGCGCAACTTTTCCTGAACGTTTCTCTAATAAGATATTTTAATGACAAAATAACTACATTTAGTGGAATAAATTGTCACAAAATATAATGACCCTAGGGGTCAAGAGAACCCTATAAAATCAAAAGTGCTGAGGGGATTTGAGCAATAATGTACATATAACTTCATAAAACCCCGAACTTTAAAATTAATATTGAACAAAATGCATATTCAGTCAACCATGACACTAATAGGGTCAATACAACCCACGTGAGAATTGTTTTGGTCATGGTATAGGAAAACTAGTACTTAAAACACTAGTTTGCTACTTTGTAGATGTATGGCACGTATATGTGTACATGTATTGACAATTAATGTTTGGTAGTAGCTAGTAGGAGTGTCAGGGACCGCTGACAGATTATAATTTTGAACCAAAAAATTGAATTATATTTTTGGCGGTCTCAGTAAATCAATGGGGTAATGAGGTCCTACGTGCTTTTTACAGGCCCAGAAATCAATGCTCGCTTATAAATGTAGCAAAATCTTTTTTCGTTCGTGGGATATTTTTTTCACCATATAACCGAACGGGAAGTTTTTGAATAGGACTACATGATCTGAATGGATGCGAGGATTCGATGGGCTGGGATTTGAGAAATTATGATTTGAACTTTGCCAATTTTACATGTATTCCAATGGGTGAAAAAGTAAGTTGCTTTCTACCTATGAGCAGGAACACCGATCTCTGCTATTGAAAGGCTAAATCGGTAGATTCTTCTGATTAAATCCCAAAAGATAATGCCACTCCACTCTATCAATGTCATTAGATGTTTTGTTTTTTTGTTTATGCTTTGCTAGGCTGTCGACTGGTTAATGATTTCAAGATGTTGCCATGCTTCAAGGCATATTGTCTGCTTTAGAATGTGATTTGGATTTCACGTTCGAAATGATGTTTCTCTGTTTACTAAAATTATTTGGGTTGATGGGCTTTTTTGACTTCGGGATTTCAAATTACTGTAGATGGTTTTAACGTTAGATTTCTTTGTATAATTAATTTGTTATATTCATTTAATGGTTTATATCATATCATTTTGTTATTTGTATATTATCTTACCTTTCGTGTTTACTAAATATTATATTATATATTTTACTCCATCTCACCATGGTTCATGAAAGTGCTACCAGAATAAAAAAGAAATAAACTTATATCATAATTCTGATAATTTCAGAACTTGTATATGCAGGATTCATTAACTTGAAGTCCCTGGCAATATAAAGTTTGTGTACGTATGTTAACAAAATATGTAATGTGAAACTGTTTTAAGTTCAATAAGTGGTTTTTGAATGAATTTTTGTTCAAAATATCCTGAATGTATAAGAACCTTAAAACGTTACATGTAAATTTTGATAAGTTATAGTTCAAACCAATGTATGCCATTAACTGTTCATGAATAAGCGAGAAATGAACATACATTCAAAATTCTTTTTTCTGTTTTTTAGATTTAGCATATTCAGAAAAGATTGACCGAGAATCTTTTTTCAAAAAGCTGCCTGGGTGACTTAAGCTGTACAATATTTTTGATATGCTAAAACATTTAAGTGGCACATAAGATATGCCATTTTGTCATTGTCAGACTAATGTGCCCTTTGTTAAATCTTTGCAATGGTGTTAAAAAGATTGCACTATATAGTGAAATAATGGTGGTTCGGGGTACATCGTTGGTGATTACTCACTTACTAATTAGCCTGGTATTTATTTACGCTTTTACTTGATATTTTCAGTGTGAAAGAAGTTGTTCTGCATGGCAATTGAACCACACTGTGTTTTGCGCTGATGCATGCCAAGAAGAGGATTACAAAGATGGGCAGATTCAACAGGTAATTATTACAGTCACGTGCACACCCAAAGTATTAGGCCCATATAAATGAATACAATGGCCAATCAAAGACGGGATGTATTTGGATATGAAAATGACTGGTTCTTTAATATTAAAGAATCCCAATAGAAATGCCAATATATAATTAAGAGAAAATATAACATTTAAGGTTCCATAAGGTCTAGATCAATATCTTCAAAAGGGACTTATACAGAAGAGATTTTAATATGTCCCTCGGGATAAACCCTATATCCACGTCAAAATTTATCTTCTCGATTGGGGGATACAGAATATATCCAACCGTTCCTCAAATATAGGATATTTAGCCCAAAGACATCTAATAATTATACCTGTGGAATTCCTTTTGGTCAAGAAAAAAAGACGAGGGGAAAACAAGTTTTTTGTTTTCTTTGCTAAATCTGCAACCTGTAAGATCGAGTAACAGATAACTTGGAATAGGAAAGGATTTCTCTGCTAGAAAATTATCAAAATAACCAGGAATGCAAAGAGCACTCATGGAAATATACCTGGCTTTAATTAGCCAACTTGAACTGATCTCGCAGAGCAAAGAAACGTCTTGGATGTGGTTTTTAGGAGCTTGGGTAAATACCAAATGCAAGGAGGGGTGATATTCAGAACCTGGAAGTTGTGAACACCCATGATCTAGTTTAACATTGTTTTTCAATTTTATTCAAAGCCAATTGAAAGTTTCATCTTAAAAAAGGAATAATAGATGTATATGAATACTCACCATCTAATAAAGATACTTCTTCACTCTTAATGGTAATTACCGCATAGACTATAAGTGATGAATAGCATATCATTTATTTTTGGTAGGGAAAGGGACGTATTTATTCCCACATAGCAACAGCCTGAATCAAACTCGTGTAAAAAGAACTGATTCTCGTAATATACACTCCCCTTCATAGGTTTTGCAATTACACTTCCCTCCACAGGTCTGAAATTGGAAGTCTTCATGGTATAGCGTACTAAAGCTTGTTCATGTTTGAATTCTTCAAATTTGATCTTAAACAGGCTTTAATAAATGATCTAAAATGGGCCATCCGGTTTTCAAACTTACGAAGGGGAGTGTATATCGAGAAACCACGCAAAAAGTTCTCATGGCGTCTTACTTAAAATTACATCTGTGACAATTTTCACTTCATTTGGACTTGGACATTCTCTTATATCTATTCATTTAAGTCGATCATAACTTATAGAATAATGAATGAATTAGAAAAGAAAGAATTGGAATTTAGACATGTCAGAGATGTAACAACATTAGGTCAGTTTGCTAGCATATGCAAGTCATGAGAAGTATATGCTTCATTAGATTTTTTCACTAAAATGGTTGTATTTGCAGGCCCGTAGCCAGGATTTGCCAAGGGGGGTTCAATTTTCAAAATATTCCAGGGGGGTTCACATTTGACAATTTTGGCCAAAATTAAGCTAAAATCACTTGAGAAGTGCTTAAAATGGTCAAAAACTGCATGATTTTGAAAGAATTTTTGGCCAGGGGGGGGGGGGTCGCCCGAAATATTTCACTGCATAATAATATAAAAATCATATGAACAATTTTACTCAGCAAGTTTTCATTTAAAGCAGTCATGATTTCGATTGGTTCAATCATTGAAAATGACAATGCTGTGCAGATCCTAACTGTGAATCAGTATTTAAAAAAATAGTTCCGAAATAGATGCCGCATGATAATTAAACAGTAACATCTCTGCAAACATTTCTCCACCTGTATTCGAAGGATTCCTGTTTGAAATAGATCAAGTTTGGTGTGTTATGCATTACGGCCAGTCTCGAACGACTGATAACATCAACAATCAATCATTTCCATGGTAACAACTTTTTTTCGAGTCCATTGACAAATTGTGTTCAAATGAAATACTATCATCATAAAGTTTAAAACGAAATCAATGGTTAACTTTTGATGTTTACTTTGTCACACACTGATTGAAGATAAAGAACCGGAAAAGCAAGTTGATACAAGACACCAGGAGAGGGGGAGGGGGGGGGATATCTCTGAAATTGAAAAGATTTAAATTTATATCATGTTTGGCGGAAAAGTATTCTCCATTATATTGTTCAAAACATCTATTCTTTGCAAAGGATGAACTAATACACGATCTCTCAATTTGTTTACTCCAGTCAACAGCAAAAACAAAACCCTGCTTTGAATAACAAATAAATATGTAATTGTGTATGAATGTTTTCAATTCTGTGTAATAATGTAAACAAGTGAAATAATGACATTTTTTATTGTAAACTGTGATTGTACGAGATTGGAGTGCAATAATGACTCGTAAAGTACTTGTCAAATTATGATATAAATATAAAATTATATGATAAATTGTTGTAAAATTGGGATGAGAGAGAAGGAGTATAAGTACAGATAATAAAGACTAAACTAGCAATACTTAGAAATAAATATTAAGGATTATGCTTGAATATAATTAGACAAATGGAATGAAAAGCAGCGTAATTTATCTATGACGGTTCATCCCTGGTAATATACACCCCCTCCATAAGTTTAGCGACAACTGAAAGTTCTCTTTATGGTCACTCATTAAAGCTTGTTTTTAATGATTCAGAAAAATCACCATACTTGTCATTAATTTCCGAATTATTGTAATTATGGAACAAATTGCGCTTTAAACATCAACAGGCTTTGAAATGCTATTCAAAGAAGACTTTCATTTGTCAAACATATAGAGGAGAGTGTAGATAGAAGGGGAGGATGGAATTTATTTTTTGGTAAATTTTCACAAAACTAAAATAGTTAAGAGAATAGGGTAAAAGTAAACTCACGTTACAGCAAAAAGGAAACATTTTGGGAGAAAACGGGCGGGTCAGAGCTAACGATAATTATTAGAGAAAATTCTACAAATCTTACAGTACAGCGATGATCAAAATTTGATTGTTCTTCAGCAAACAACACTGTATGATTACAATTAGCATAGTTGAACGACCAATGTCATTGTTTTAGGCCTACATAATATAGAATGATTAAGTAAAATGTACTGAATAACTATCAGACTATACATATTTAAAACATTCGATAAAAGTGTTCCATTAACTTCTACTTCTATAGGGCATGTATTTAACACTATTAAAACATTAATTTCTTGTTTGTATAACACTAATTCGCACAAATGGGGGGGGGGGCAGAGGAGGGTAATGGTTAGTAGTAGTTTAAAAAAGAGTGTTTCTATTTCTTAAATAAAGTATACTGGAAAGAGAATTTAATCTGCTGAATGATTATCTACCAAACAGAGAAATAATCATCTCTTTGCATTTTCTAGAGTGTTAGAAACAAGGCAAAAATTAATATTTTTAGATTTTCAATTTTATTGGCATCAAGTTCCTACTATCATAACTTTGTCCCTCTTATACCCCCAAATTACCTTGATTTTAAGTATCATTTATCTGTGACTCGAGCTAAAAAATAACGGGGGCACAAAAACATGCAATAAGTACTGTTGATAAAATCAAGCTGATCCCCTTACAGACATTAGGATTAAGGGCCCTTTAATTCATAAATATATATAAGCACAAATGCGAAAAGGGAAGGGTGACTAAAAACTTTAAGGAAACCCAACAAGAAAAGCAAACTGTAAGTGTAAATTCATAACCAATTCATAACCTGTTTTAGATCTTGGACCTTTAAAGTCCTGTGTTTCAAAAATTCTAAAACTTTTAGTTTTAGAGGATCGTATACCTTTTAAACTATGTTTAAGTGACCCTCATACCTTATATTTAGAGAATTATACCTTACAAAGTATATTTCGGAGACTCTTGTATTCCATTCCTAATATCTCAATAGGCCACTCAGACCCTATAGCTTATGCATGTTCGGTATTAGCACGAGGTTACATGTATATCCATTAATTTAGTGAACTTGCTTTACAATCTTTTCCAAATATTCATAATATACATGATTCATGATTTTGTTTTGTGTTTTCCAGAATCCATGTTTAGAGGGATGCATTGCGGCCAAAGATGATTATGTACAGAAAATTAACGGTATCATTTAAAATACAATTTAAATATATCACCTATTTTATTGATATAAAATACAAATTTTTCGTGGGTAAATGCACTCTGAAGAATTTGCATATGACTTACAAGACGTTTTAACAAGAAAATTTCTGTTTCATTGAACACACTACTTTCAAACTATAATTGTGCTTTCAGGATAATTGTTATCTGGACGAAATCTTGCAATATTGTTAGAAAATTCAATATATTATGCAACACCCATTTTTTGAAAATTACATCTCAAGTATACTAGTATTTAATACTTGAGCAAGTTAGCTATTTTTTCTCACCAGTTAATTAAAACATGAATCTGTTATTTTGTTTAACTATTATAATTGTTCGACCAGTTACTAAATTGTTGTCTGTTGAAAGAGCATATGGAATGTGAATAAATGTTAAGTAGCGACTGTGTGCATTATGTGTATATCATTCATTTTATTATTGTATGGATATTTTCAGAAAGTTTGGGACGATTATCCGAGTACCCCAGACTTCTATATTATACACTAAAACCAACTTCACTCACTCTAAAGTGGAAACATATTATTCTTCCGAATGTAACGTATTTGTTAGTACGACACTTCCGGTTTAAATATGATTCAAAATGGCGACATGAGGAAAAGGAATTGGATATAGATATAACCACATCGGAGATAAATGTAACAGATCTACACCCATATGTGGACTATAAGGTAACAATACATGCAATTGAATGTAATATATTCAGTTTCCAATATTCCAAAAAGTGTCATTATGCATATATAATCGATTGGCCCATTTGAGCTAAATTAAATTTCATTCTGCCATAAACTATAATATTATATTATATTACACTTCACTACACTACACTACACTACACTACACTGCTCTACACTACCCTATATTATGTAATATTTATGTAATATTCTTCCACATTTTCAAATTCAATTTCAACGTTATTCCCTTTATTATATACCAATTATTACATGCTACCATTAAGGATATACGCAGTATACACCTAATATATGGTTTTAGAAAGTAGCACAGAATTTATATAACAGTGAAAATGCTTGTAGTGATTGTAAAAAACTGTTTTTTATTTTGTATGCAGCATTTGTAAAATTTAAATTTATCATTGATGCAAAAATGAGAGGAGATAATAAAATTGAACAAATACATGTACTTGATTGTAGTTCCAGGTAAGAGTTGTAATACTTGATGACGTCATACTCGACTCGCCAAAATCACCACTCATCTCGACTCCAGAACATGGACGTAAGTTCAACCTTAAAATTTGCGAATTTCATGGGTTACGAGGCAAATATTTAAAAAGGAAATTTTACAAAATAAACTCTTGTGATCTATTTTGACAAATGGGCCACTGATACATTGCTCATCCCTATCATTATTAGGGCTGCCCTTTGAGGAGGGGAGGGGCATCAATTAATTGGAACACATATTCGGGCAATGGAACCCTTATCACATCCACCACACCTTTCGACAAAAAACTTTCACATTTCATTACATGTTAGCATTTTTGTTGTTGTTCAGAACAGAACATAATGATGTTGTTTTGCAACATTTTCTACACAATTTACAAGATACTTAAAAAGATTTTGATTTGATAAAATATTTCTTCATAATATGTTATACATATCTATATTAATATTTCATATTTAATATGATGATATTTGGTTATTTATAGGTCCTTCTTCCCCAGTCATCATAACAAAACTAGTCTACCCCAGTAGGATTTCACTTTATGTCACCTGGTCTCCTCCATTGTATATAAACGGTCCATTGGACAGATACACCGTTACCATAGCAACTGAGGATAACAACGTCACCATGGTTACAAAAAATGTCAGTGCCAATGTCAGATCATTTAGAACATCATTATTGGACTACGTCCCTGGTGTGATGTATGGAATAACTATCGTTGCCTGGAATAAGTTTGGCCACTCTCCACCATTGGTTGCCATGTTAACCAGGCAAAAGAGACAGAAAGGTAAATTGAAATTATATCAATCGGTTGAGATCTTTAAAAGTCCAAAAATTGAATAATTTGTTCATTCAGATTGACTATAAAATCTGCAAATAAATGCATGGCATAAATTAAATGCACTAACTAAACTGTTTTCCCTGTTTTTGCCAGCTCTTCATATCGGAAGCATGGCCTTGTACTAAAAATAACACTGTCTTTTTCTCTTTTTTCTCGTGAAGCCAACTTTCAATGAAGTTAACGTATTATCAAAAGGTTTTATGAATCTACTCAAGGTGTACCAGAACCAGCTTATCTGATCTTCTACGATGGCAATAAACTAATGAGGAAGAACCTCGACGACATTCTCAATGTACCAAAGGAGACCATGGGTGCTGCAAACCACTCGATAAAAGGTGAGGGACCTTTTAGTTAGCGTAATCACTTCATTAAGAGACAGCAACTCAAGACAAAATATCGATCTTCGCCCAAAAATTAGTAATTACATTTGGAGGAGAATGCCGAAGTAAATCTTGTTCTTGTTGAATTAATGTTGGGGTGTCGGACGGACTCAATTTTAATATTGGGATAACATGTAAATTCTGACTACAAACCGTCTTCCTTACAGACTGAAAAATGAAAATATCTGTAGTATAATTTAATGGAATATAAAAAAATATAATCTGAAAAATGTAAAATGTTACAAAATATCATAAATTGAATTGATATTCAAATTTTGAATTTAGATATTAAATATAGTGCGATGTTATTAATGAAAAAAGTCAAACAAGATAAAACATCCTCAAAGACAATTTTTACAATTGACATAATGCGTTTATTTATAAAAGCTAAAGTGGTGTATGAGATGAATGGACGTAAACTAGAAGGTAACGTGGTTGTAGAGTTAGTATTAGCTATTGAGTTACTGTACACTAATAATTTCTTTTCACATAACACTAAATGTTTGTGTTTTTGATTTCTTTAACTACTCATTATTGTACATTTAGTTGCTTTTTACTATTAATACTATATCTAGTAATATTATATACACTAATAGTTGAATGTACATGTGATGACATTAGACCAGTGGTTGAAAATGCTTGTAGTTTATCTAGTTTATGTAAAATATACTCTAATGTATTTAAAATATGTATAGTTTATATTTGATCTACATTAACAGCTATTAAATCTACAAGTTTGCTTTTGTATCTGTTCGCACTATATAACAGCTATACATTTATGATGTCATGAATGTCATTGTGGTGTCATGTATGTATAGAATGTCGCCATCAGGCATGTTCCTTTGTTTAGTAAAGTTGAATTAATATCAATAATTTAACATGACAGTATTTTTGACATAGCTTAAAATTTTTCAAATCTTTTAGGTGTTTTTATACTTTTATACGAGTACTTGTAAATTGTTTTGTGTAATATTTTTAATTATTCCATAGTTAGCATGATATTCATAGGATAACATGTGAAAATAAAAACGGTATTTTTGTAATCAGTGGTAAAATTTGATATTTTTGACAAATTTTCACTTAACCATAGCATACGGTTTTTTAGCCATGACATACGACGTCGTATGCGATGGTTTATGGATTTTTGCTACTTCAGACTCAAAACGAGGCTAAGTGTCAACATCGCCGGATCGTTTGGAAAATTCGAATTAAATGACTTAATTTCCGACGATTCTGATGATGACTTTAACTATGGAATAAAAAGAACATCCTATGATTTACTCGTGATATGATTTTAATCCACTCATGGCTATTGATATCTGCACTCTTTCGCTACGCTCGCTCGTGCAGATATCATATCCATTCGTGGATAAAAATCATATCACTCATAAATCATAGGATATCCTCTATATATTATGTGTGCAGTTAGTTTGTCACGTCATGGCTTTTTGTATATAGCTAGCAAAGTGTGCGTAAAACTAAAAATGCATTGCTTTAACTTTAAGCAAAAACTTATTTTTCGAACTTAATAATTGATGATGAAAGTTCCTCGGTCATTTGGGTATTCTCAGTTCTTGATCATTTTTGTGACAGATCAGACAGTAGCTCATTGGAAAAGCGCCATACCGTACATAGTAGCTCTGCAAATTTTGGCAAAATCAGGTTTTCCACACTCATCGAGCGTAATGTACACTGATATAAAACATTTAAGACACTTTAATTATTGACTCAAAGTTAGATTCATTTTGTCCTTATTGTGCAAATCAGATAAATTCAACATACATAATTATTACAGATATTGCTATTCATGTAAAAACCGAGGATGTTTACATGGTAACATCTGATAACACGGTAGAAATCATCTCCATGGTGACATTTCAACATAGCAACCTGTGTACAACAGACTCAACCATTGTTTCTATTGATGTGGACTGGATAAACCATCACCTCTACATAGCTGCATCAAATAAGGTAATTGTTTCATTGTTCGTTAGTATTCTGAAACACTATACATTACAATACAATACATGAAAGAGCATTGATGGGAATAAAAAAGTCTGTGTCCACTTGTTTCTTAAAGATTTAATAGTCCGCTTTATGTTATTGACATTTCTTAGTGAATCAATTTGGTAGAATTAAATCTAAATGGAAGGTCTGAAATCTACTGTACACTAAGTTGATCAATAATTTCAAGCATTCAGTCAGAATGCCCTACTACTAGGTTTGCATACCTAGTGAATAAAAGAACTGCGATGTCATTTAGGTTTCCCTACTCATGCATGCAACAAAACAGCTGGTCCCGATTGACAGTAATTCGATTGTGGCCAAATTGACCATGTTCCATATAAATGGGGAAATAGATGGCACCATTGGTGTTGGTAGGGCTAGGATGCATGGTAATCTATAACAAGAATCACTCAATTTAACAAGTAATTCCATCTGGATCAACTTAAAACACCATTGGAATCTAACTATATGATTTAATTGACATGTGGATTGTGCTTTCACATTGAAATTGCGACCCTGAAAAGAGTAATTGATTTTTAAAGGTTTTTCAATATTTGTGGCAACAAGGATTTAGCCCGACATTTTTTAGACAACTTGAGAATCTTTAGACTTTGTATAAAAGTAAATTTCTGTACAAATCAAAATTGTTTTGATAATTTACACACAAAATTCAAATATGTCATAAAAAGAAGAAAATGTTAGTCTATAATTGTTGAAAATGTAGATCTCTCAAAATCTCATTAAAACGAGACGTTAACGAGATTTCAAAGCTATAATATGGAAAATGGTTAATTAAATGGGTGTAATCCAGAATCTAAAGAAAAAACTAGAATTTGAAAACAATCAAATACCATAGATGCCATGGTTTTGAGTGGTTTTGGACATTTTCATTGTCTGACTGAATGCAATGATCATGTGTAACTGACCAGTTGTGATAAAGGTTTTTAGGATTCGCTCTGTAATCTGAACTGGATTGTGCTTTGATTCAATTCCTTATGCCAAGTTTTAAGATGAAATGTCAAAAATGACATCGATGATATTCATTCATTTTTTGTCTGTGTGTCAACAAATACGTATACGCAATCTACTCATTCAAAAGTAATTTAAATCACCTAAATGAAAGCAATGGAAGCGCTGAAATGGATTTCTGATTTTCTCGTGTTTTTTTTCTTTAAAAGATAAAAACGTACATTTATAAATTTAAGTTGTTAACTATTCATATCCTAGGTTGTGCAATGTACCTTGAACTGTACGGCATGTAAGGTTGTAGTTGAACGCACCCATGGGGGAATCAGACAGATCAAAGTGGATCCTTATAACGGGTAAGTATACGCGCAATATATGCATGTGAATACATATCAAATGTAAACAATATGAAAGTAATAAAATCAACAAATACTCTGAAAGTAATAAATTAACAGCTATAAATTGAAAATGTTTAAAGATTCTCGCAATCTTTATCCAATCAGCGTTTGCGAGTGTGTCGGCTCACGTATAAAAGGGGAATCCAACTCAAATCCATGCAGGGGCGTATGAGGTACTCGAATAGGAAAGAGCTCGTGAAATCTGAATTTTTATGCACATGGTCAATGTTTACACATGTTTGGAGTTATTGAAGAAAATGTGATATGGGTGTGGTTCCGAATTTGAAGTCATTGCTGGAAAATATGATTTTAATACGTGAAATTATATCTATAAATACAGCACTAAAAATAACAGTACACATGAAGTACATGTATGATTGTGTCCTGAAATGTTTGAAACCCTTACAGAAAATACTGTCTGCATTTTGTCACCATTGCTCTTATCTTTCTTCCCGCATTCTAGTGCTGTTTGAATGAATATATTAATTAATGTATTTCTAACTAAAATATATCACATTTTTTTATAAACCACAAACATTTAGATCTTTTAAAAAAAAATTCAATACTTGAGTGAGCACGATATGCAAGGGCTACTAAGTTGACACAGTAAATGACCACTGGTATTGTGTTAGCAAATATGTATTAGCAGAATACGCTGTGTGGGGCTCCCCAAGGAGTATGTGATAAGGCGACCTGGCCTCTAAAAATGTGACTAAATGGGACTTTGGGGTACTTAAAAACGAACAAATGTGACAAATAGATGCTTGTAAGTGACAATTTTGTACATTAATAGGACTGACAAGTGTTTTGAGAGTGACAAAAATAGACAATTCGTTCTGAATGTAAATAGATGCAAGTAAAGATGACTTATTCTAACCAGTAATCAAACAATGGAACATAACAGACTATTTGTTGCATTAAATGCTTTGACTGACTAAAAAGGAATGAATCTGACAAAATATGACAGGTAAATTTTAAATGTGACAAAGTGAGAATTTTGAAATTTTAAAAGTGACAAAAGCGACCTCACTGCCACCTCTTGGGGAGCCCTCTGTGTGCATGGACTAACACCCCTCACTTTCATAGTGAAGTGACTAATTGGTTTATGTTTACGTTTTAATGTGTTTTGGGTTCCTTGTTACAGCAAGGGGGGCCAGTAAAGTAGACTAACATGTTTGCATGTCAAATTTTGATCGAATATGTGAGACACTTTAAATAGAAAAAACATAATCACACCTTGTTTGCTTCAAGAAATCAGCTTTGAATTGTGCTAATAGTTTTTCATTCCACTCCACCCACATAGAAATTATTATAATCAATATTAAGCATTTTGAAATAATTAAGTTAAACACTTTTACGGTAATAGTTTCATCAACACGTTTTTCATATATTAGTGTCGTTCGAAAAGTTTTGCACGAAAGCTTCTCAAGAGGAGAGATTTTATTATTTTTACATGAAATTCGATACAGTTATAGATATATATGTGCAAAACTTGAACAACCCGCCTTGTATTTTCGCAGCATTCAAACTAATAACTTTTTTTATGTTCACATAGGTTCTTCTATTGGCTCCAGTATCAGAAATTACACCGAGTAGATCTTAGTGAACTTCCGGTTAAGAAAGCAACAATTTGCCCAAGTTTGTCACACAATTCGGTGACCGAGTTCTACGTCGATTACACAAACCGACGTGTAGTCTTTGCCAACGAAAATAATTATGCAATGTCATTGAATCACGATGGGTCAGAGACGTCATTCCATGCAAACATTTACAACGGACTATCATCATTTAGTGACGTGACCAGTATATCTATGTATAACGACAAACTCATTTGGACGAATGGACAGGAGATGTTTACTGAGCACTATATTGCAAAAGAAGACAAATACGACCACGATTCCTTCCATATAAAAGGGACATTTGGGGGCATTAATGTTATGCATAAGTCACAACAGTTGAACCCAGGTAAGTGGGGAAAGAGAGAGGCAAAATATATAAGGGAACGTAACGATTTTTGAACCGCAGCCGAAGTTGCTAAAACAACCTTCCAAAATAATTTGGCTGAATTGCAACTTCTTCACAAAATCAGCATGTACAGAGGGGCAAAAACATAAATTTCAGAAATCACAGTCGCTCGCAATGTGACGGTCACGCCTACACTTCCAACAGAGTTGAACATTACATGGAAAGAACCCAGAGTAATAAAGGGACCTATTGAGAAACTAGCGTACATTGTACAATGGGTCTCTACAGGGAGATCAGGTTCATTAACACATCAACAAAAGACAAATTTACACGAAGTAGTGATTAGGAACTTGGATCCTGGTCAGCAATATAGTTTTAAGGTACGTGATTCTGTAGTCCATGTAGTTCTAGAAAAACCTACATTCATCAACTCATATTTCCTTAAAAGTCCGCTTTACGGATTTTATAGACCCGGTATTTTCAGTATCTCATCTATTTTGTTGAAATTTTGTTGAGATCAGATCATTGATCCACATAGTTGTCTGATTTCATTGCAGGTTATTGCAAAGTTCAATATATCAGACAGCTTTTCATCAACCGACATGGTCAATGGAACAACATTTGTGCAACCATCGCCCATAATACTCCTTAATGCTACGCAGACGACAGTGGATGTCACGTGGTGGTCTAGTCCCGACAATAGCATTAAAAGACATTCTATAGAATACACCGAACTTTCTGTAAGTACAACTGAAATTATGAATTACATGGTGTTGATCTTACATTCAGAAACAAACAAATGTCACTAAGCCATTGAAATGCGACATCTATAATCAACACAAATGACATTTTATGATAAAATGGTTTATTTGTGCTTTTTAGTCATCTGGTAAGGCGATAAAATGGATAAGCCATGAAAACGGATTAGACAAGATCATCTTCACCCAGAACTTTACACAATACAACACCAGCTTTACAGGTCTGAAAATGAACACCAAGTACGCATTCAGAATAACTGTTGTCTTCAGATCCGTAGAACATTACGATTGGCCAAAAGACACAAGATACAACTTCTCAACCTTAGGTTAGTTAGTTTATTGTTTTTATTGAAATCAATTTAACATATTTACAGGTATAGTGACTATGCCCACCTAGAGACCCTAAATGGAGTATTAGTTGCCACATAGTGGTATTTAGAATGATTCATAATTTATTATAGGAAACTAATAATAATTTATTCAAAGTATGATATTGTATATAATAATGAAAAGTTAGTGTTTTTATGGTTTTTGCAGTATAGGTCTCTTCTAAGATAACTAGTTAACAACAATTAAATTGATATGAAAAGTAATAGAAATATATCAAGAAAAACATCCATTATCATTACAAAATAGTAAAGGAGAGATTATACAGTTCAATGAACAGCTCTTTTAAATATAGATTGCAATAAAAGTGTTTTGGTGCTTTTTGAGAATTGGATGCTTTCTGAACTCTAAAATAGTTTGTCCCACACATGAAGAATTGAGAAGGAGTATAAATCTTGTTTAGTAGAAACAACGGCAATTTTAAGTATGGATAGATAATAGTAGCTCGAGATAATTCGAATTGAGGATTTCAAACTGTGATGGATGTTTTAAACAGATTACTTTCTTTTTACTCCAATAAAAATGTGGATTCCAAACAAATGTATGAACAAATGATTTTTCTTCTTCTATAGCTGATAGACCAGAAGCCCCTGGTATTCCTGTATTTGAGACATTGCGACCTGGAATACACGAAGTAAATTGGACGCCTAGATATGATGGGGGTAGTCCCATAATTCAATATATACTGCAGTACAGGTAAGTATTGCTGTATTGATATTTATATATTACTAAATTATTAGAGTAAAAACCTTAGAAAAATAGCTTGTTAAGAAAGCATTCCTTTTTAGCAGAATATTAATAACACCACTCTATCATTACAGTGAACTTGGCAATACAAACAGCAGCTGGAAAACTGTATACAATGGACATGATCCAAGATGGGTAGCTAATGACCTACCAATGGATGCTTACTATACTTTCCGGGTCGCAGCAAAGAATCTCATTGGTTGGAGTGATTTCAGTAACAACAGTTCTGCCATCTATACACCAAGTAATTCAATCCTTCAATGTATTTCTGTTTAAAGGTCCCTTTCTTACCTCATTGAAATTTCTTTTTGGACATTTTAGGAGGCTCGCATCATCGACTCATATCTTGAAGTTGAATGAAGTAAATTATTGCTAACCTCATCTTTCAATATTTGATTGAAATGAATTATTGTGTTTAGTGGCGGTACTAGCTGGACAGGAGCTTTCTACCACGCTTCCTTGGCCTGTGGTTGTTATTGGTATCACTGTCGCAGTGTTAGTTTTTGTAGCTGCAGGCATATATGGTAACCTTATATTAATATTTTTTAATAATATGAAAAAATCTGACAAAATAAAATACGATAGAAAGTACAATACAATTTGATTTTACCAATAGTGGGATATCATTGAAAATTACATTTTGCTCCAAAATAGTTAATAATTTTTTAATGAAAAAAAACAAAAACAGACAAATAGTTCCTCGTGTGTTTGACAGTATCTACATGTATCTTCGTTTCTAGCAGTCATCAGGAGTAAAAGAAATTCTAAACAAGTGATGCATAAAAAAACTGAATCTACAAACCATGACATAGAACTAGCTACTCTTAGAGACCTGTCACATGTGGGACGAACACAAGCGAATCCCCTTTATATAACAAAGTAAGAAAATACCAATCATTAATGCCCGGGTCACATTTGCTCCGATTAATCTGCCGGCGCCCGCCCGATTGAGTATTTTGTTCAAAATTGTATACAGTTTTGACTAGAATACTCAATCGGCAGGGCGCCGGCGCGCGTTAAAGGTTAAAAGCATGAAAAAGTATATATTTTTGTGACTGGCATTTGGCGTTCGAATTTGGCTACACTAGTTGTAACAAACCATTATCCTTTTATTATCCTATCCAGGTTTTCACATTTTTGTTATTACCTTGCGTATATATGATGATGATTGTATGTTAATATCGTTATGACCCTTTAAAGGAATAACTGACAGACTTGTCTCTTCATAAAAAGTGTACTTATAGACAGTTTTTCATAAACTCAGTATTACATCAACATTCCAACTTATTAGATCTCATTTCAGCATTATACCAAATGAGGAGGATATCGCTGCCCTGCCCCACTTTCCGAGACATCTATTGTCTCTAACTAAGTTCCTAGGAAGAGGGGCATTTGGTGAAGTATATGAGGGTGTTGCTCAGGATATCAATGGAACAACAGGACTCACCAATGTAGCAGTTAAGGTAATTGTAGCGAAATACAATAACAAAAATCAAAACCTATGACACGTCCTTTAATTTACCAAGTACTGTTTTAAGGGTAATCGATGACATCACTTCCTGGGTGATGGCAACTTACTCTTAATAACCACTATATTTTTAAATGATCATCAATATTGAGCATGCTGATGGTGTTAAAATAGTTATAACTGCATATCAAGTAGGAACTGGTCTTCCAAATAATATCCCTTCTCTACATAAGTTTACCAAATGACTTCCATTGTCGTCTGCATAGCATTGCAAAGCATTATGGGTAATAGTTGCATACAAAGATCGTATATAAATTAATTAAATAATTACAGACTCTGAAACCAGGCTCAACTGAAGCAGACAAGGACGAGTTTTTAAAGGAAGCATTGTTGATGAGTAACTTTAGACACCAACATGTTATTCATCTAATGGGGGTATGTCTCGATACAGACCCTCAGTATATCATTTTGGAGTTAATGGGAGGAGGGGATCTCTTGTTGTTTCTCAGGTCGTCAAGACCTTCACAAGTATGTTTATTGCTTTTTATTGAGTAAAACAGTTTATGATCTACAATCAGCATTTTTTATAATTATAATAATCGGGTTTCTTAAACACTTAAAGGCCCCATGTAAAGTTTAAACCACTTTGGCTTATATTGTAGTCTTACCCAATGTTATCAAAGTGTGATATGTGAAACTTTTTTTTTAATTTCAAAAAGTGGTTTTTGATAGACTTTTTGTTCCAAAATTTGTGAATTTATTTAAAACCAACTTTTAGAGGTCACTCATATCTTCTAATTAGCCACAATTCATACCAATGCATAGCATACATCTTCCCATGTGTTTTGCCGAAAAAATTAAGAAAATCGGTTGATAAACAAGCGAGAAATGAACTTATCAGTGCATGAAAATGGTTCTGAGAAAAATGCATTTCAAAATTTTAGTTCTCATAGAAACCAATGGTACAATGATATCTAAAACATAATTTATTCTTCCTTTTAACCTGGTTAGACAATCAACATTGTTTTTTATGAAAGTCTAGCATATTTAGAAAAGATTGACATCGAAAAAAAAAATTCAATTTTTTTCAAAAGGTTTTTGTTACCTTAGTGACATCACTAATGTTTCAAAATATTTTTGATAAGCTAAAACATTGAAGTGGCCCATTAAATATGACATTTTATTATTGAAATAGTGTGCCTTTTGTTCAATCTTTGCATTGGTGTTAAAAATATAATCTTTTTTGAAATGCATTAAGAAATATTTAATGATTAAGAAATTTCAACTTTTTTTGAAAAATGGCGGGAAATTTGAATATTTAAGAAATGAAATGCTCACAACTTTTTTTTCAAAAAAATTTTTTTGTTCAAAAATCTCTAAAATCACTTTTTAAGTCCTGACAAATAGTAAATGAATGATAAAAGAATATTTTCAAACTTTAGACGGGGACTTTAAGGGTATGAGTATAATCCCATGCATATTTCTGATATTGATGGCTCGACGTCAACAGGAAAATAGCAGAGTATTGATGATTTTTTTAAAACTCTGACCTCTTAAATATTCGAAAAGATTACATTATTTGAAACTTGTCTCAATCACTCTCCCATTTTCAGAACGGCCCTGGTCTGCAGCTATGTCACTTAGGACAAATATGTAGAGACGTTGCAAAAGGTTGCCAGTACTTGGAGGAAATGCACTATGTACACCGGTAAGATTAGCTTAGAGAAAGATGAAAATGTTCCGCATATTCTCCAGAAATCCAATTCTAACCTATGAAGTAACCTCCACCGGCATTGTGAGGCCCAGCATCACATTTGATTTCCTTAGCCTTATTTGTATATTCCATACACAGGGACATTGCTGCAAGAAATTGCTTGGTATCAAGTGCAGATGTTAACAACATGATCGTGAAGATTGGGGATTTTGGCCTGACACGTGACATTTACAAAAACGACTATTATAGGAAGGAAGGAGAGGGTCTGTTGCCTGTAAAGTGGATGTCACCTGAATCAATAAAGGATGGCGTTTTTACTACGCAGTCAGACGTATGGTAAAACAATTTTAATACTTAATAAATGATTTAAGTAATTAAGATGTTTAAAATGGTTGTCTGATGATGGAAAATGATGTTTGCGAAAATCATTTTTGATCAGACAAATTAAATAATTTACATTACTTTATGAATATACTCCATAAGTTTAGCAATTGGAAGTTTTCATAAGATAGTATAAGGTCTGTTAATAATTGAATCTGACTTATGTTGCTTATACTGAAATTATAATCAGGGTTAGGATTACAATTGTACGGAAATCAATGTCAAATGTGTTGATTCTTTCAAATTGCCAAACATGAACAGGGCTGTCAAATTGCTTCAAACTTGTTTTATCATTGCTACTTTCAACAGGACGTATGGTGTATTAATGTGGGAAGTGATGACGCTTGGACAACAGCCATTTCCAGCGTGTACAAATGTAGAGGTGTTTAACTTTGTATGCTATATTACAGGGCATATGGTGTATTAATGTGGGAAGTGATGACGCTTGGACAACAGCCATTTCCAGCGTGTACAAATGTAGAGGTGTTTAACTTTGTATGCTATATTACAGGGCGTATGGTGTATTAATGTGGGAAGTGATGACGCTTGGACAACAGCCATATCCAGTGTGTACAAATGTAGAGGTGTTTAACTTTGTATGCAATATATTACAGGGCATATGGTGTATTAATGTGGGAAGTGATGACGCTTGGACAACAGCCATATCCAGCGTGTACAAATGTAGAGGTGTTTAACTTTGTATGCAATATATTACAGGGCATATGGTGTATTAATGTGGGAAGTGATGACGCTTGGACAACAGCCATTTCCAGCGTGTACAAATGTAGAGGTGTTTAACTTTGTATGCTATATTACAGGGCATATGGTGTATTAATGTGGGAAGTGATGACGCTTGGACAACAGCCATTTCCAGCGTGTACAAATGTAGAGGTGTTTAACTTTGTATGCTATATTACAGGGCATATGGTGTATTAATGTGGGAGGTGATGACGCTTGGACAACAGCCATTTCCAGCGTGTACAAATGTAGAGGTGTTTAACATTGTATGCAATATATTACAGGGCATATGGTGTATTAATGTGGGAAGTGATGACGCTTGGACAACAGCCATATCCAGTGTGTACAAATGTAGAGGTGTTTAACTTTGTATGCTATATTACAGGGCGTATGGTGTATTAATGTGGGAAGTGATGACGCTTGGACAACAGCCATATCCAGTGTGTACAAATGTAGAGGTGTTTAACTTTGTATGCTATATTACAGGGCGTATGGTGTATTAATGTGGGAAGTGATGACGCTTGGACAACAGCCATATCCAGTGTGTACAAATGTAGAGGTGTTTAACTTTGTATGCTATATTACAGGGCATATGGTGTATTAATGTGGGAAGTGATGACGCTTGGACAACAGCCATTTCCAGCATGTACAAATGTAGAGGTGTTTAACTTTGTATGCTATATTACAGGGCATATGGTGTATTAATGTGGGAAGTGATGACGCTTGGACAACAGCCATATCCAGTGTGTACAAATGTAGAGGTGTTTAACTTTGTATGCTATATTACAGGGCATATGGTGTATTAATGTGGGAAGTGATGACGCTTGGACAACAGCCATATCCAGTGTGTACAAATGTAGAGGTGTTTAACTTTGTATGCTATATTACAGGGCATATGGTGTATTAATGTGGGAGGTGATGACGCTTTGACAACAGCCATATCCAGTGTGTACAAATGTAGAGGTGTTTAACTTTGTATGCTATATTACAGGGCATATGGTGTATTAATGTGGGAAGTGATGACGCTTGGACAACAGCCATTTCCAGCGTGTACAAATGTAGAGGTGTTTAACTTTGTATGCTATATTACAGGGCGTATGGTGTATTAATGTGGGAAGTGATGACGCTTTGACAACAGCCATTTCCAGCGTGTACAAATGTAGAGGTGTTTAACTTTGTATGCTATATTACAGGGCATATGGTGTATTAATGTGGGAAGTGATGACGCTTGGACAACAGCCATTTCCAGCGTGTACAAATGTAGAGGTGTTTAACTTTGTATGCTATATTACAGGGCGTATGGTGTATTAATGTGGGAAGTGATGACGCTTTGACAACAGCCATATCCAGTGTGTACAAATGTAGAGGTGTTTAACTTTGTATGCTATATTACAGGGCATATGGTGTATTAATGTGGGAAGTGATGACGCTTGGACAACAGCCATATCCAGCGTGTACAAATGTAGAGGTGTTTAACTTTGTCAGAGAAGGAGGTCGTCTAGATAAACCAGAATCTTGTCCTGAAGAATTGTAAGTTTACAAATCCTTGCATGTTTAAACTTATTAGTTTTGTCTTAAGCCCCTGTTTTGATTGCATTTTATCTTTCTCTGATGCAGTCAGTCAGAAAAAAGATAATGAGGGGAGGGAAGAGGATGCACGACTATCGATTCATTCATCATTTAAAATGATAAATACATTTAACGGATTACTTATTTCCAACAATGCACCCAAATCATTCCGAAGAACATGGACTAGATTGATCAACAATTTACTGAAAACTGCTGTTCAAAAGAAGAAGCCTGTGTAACTGTACTATTTCTTAAAGTTAGCTTCTATGTTGTAGATATAAGTTGATGACATCTTGTTGGAATAGTCACGCTGATATGAGGCCTTCCTTCACTCGTATTTTAGAGATCTTGAAACAATACAAATTGAAGACTGAATCTCAACAGAATGGTGCTTACAGAGCAAATGGTACTATTAAGATGTGATTAAATAGAACAAATTGTAATTGGAAACACAGTCTGAAAAAATCGCAGGATTGACTATAAACAATAACTGGTGCAAATATTCACAAAAATAAGGAAAGATTTGACATATCCCTTGACATAACCCTCATGTATTTAAGGGCATAACCCTTATGTATTTTAGGGCAGCATGGTTCCCTGCGCCTAACCCCAACTGGGCGTAAGAAAAGACTTAGTCTTCTGTGTGCAGAAGGAAAAAAGGAACCCGCTGTAATGGAAGACCTACTGGGGAGAACACAGGTGAGATTTTGTTCAGATTTAGATTTTAGTTGTAAAGATGGCAGCAGGAGTAGAATGTAAAACAAATTGATTGCACCGCCATCTTTATTTTGAAATTTTATTCAGCGACTTTTAGCTTCTGTTTTTTTTTTGTTTCATTTATATCATATTTTGTAAACGTTTAAAGTTATTGATTATAAAAAATGTAATATGATACGTGACGTCATAATAGCTAGAACAATTGATTTACTAGTCTATATTGGAGTATGTATGACCGCTTGAATTCATAAATGCAAATAGTTGTGTTTTTTCGTCTATTTCTCATATTTGAATCGTACCAAAGACCTCGATTTTATGACCTATGTCAAATATATGACCTAAAATTTTATTCTGGCCATTGCTACGCGATTTCGGTCTTTTAACAATGAATAGAATGAAATTTCCGGTCTTATATTACGCCATAAATAATAAAATCTCGGTGTTAATTCCTTATAAATAAGTTGATCTTGGTTGTTTAGTTCCCCGGCCCGTCTATTAACCACATCAGTGCTTTACATACTTCATTTAATGTTTTATTCAGGAACCAATTGTGGGAAGACAAAAGCGAGCGGTGTCATTTGATGGAAAGTCGTCACAATCATACAGAAAAAGTAGCAAAATTGATGACACAAATTATACAAACATGTCTGGGAATTCTGGCTCAACTCCTAAATATCTGAAAGTGTTTGACGCCTCATCACCAAGTGTGTTCCCTTTGATAAGAAACAGTAAGAAAAAGAAGGCCCAGAAAACCGGAATTGATTATGCTATTGTGTCTCATAATAAGAATTGCAGGCCCGAAGTGAAGGCGACAACGCCACCATTTGAAAACCTGGTTAGCGATATTCCAACTGCTTTTAACCAGGCTAACAGACACACAACATCAATTGAAGAAGACAATGATTCCCCCAATAGACTAACTGATGCAAGACGGAGTAGTTTTGGAAAAGGACGAAGAAGATCAAGGGATAATAAACGGGCAGTCTTATACGCCCAGTTGGCCATGGACGACCCTGAACAGGTGGAAAATCAAACTCATATGATGGATCATATTCACAAAAGTCACGAGATATCCAAGATGAGCGATATGGCAAACAATAACTATAACAATGAAAACATAAATGATGTGAGAAGTGTTGGAAATGATAACTACAAAGAGCCTGATTGGAAAACCAATGTGAACCCTATTAGATGTGATACGACGTCGCCAAAGCAAAGGCCAACTCTCAGTTGTGAAATGACGTCGCCAAAACAAAGGCCAAATCATTTACAGAATGTGACCCCTCAGCTTGTATAACTGTGTAATTCAAATATGTTTATACTTTATACATGTACCATGATACATGCAGCATGTACATAAACTGTATTTTGATATATGACTATTTCTATGATATATAATCATCTCACACCAAGCGTCAGCTTTCGCACAGGATTATGAAATACTATGTGGGGTTTTGAGTCTTTCTAGATTCCGTTGGCCTTGTATAATATTTGAAGTTCGTCACTTGAAAACTGTAATGCCTGATTCCGTTCATTTTGAAAATATCTATTTACATAACTAAAATTTACAATTAAACAGGTCTAAAATAGAAATGTACATTTGTTGTACCTCTGTATTTCACCTACTAAACCTTACACTTAACATACTAAGATTGTATTCGCGAATGCAACTAACGACTGCCGGCTATCGGATTAACCTACTATTTTATTGGAAACTCATTTAAATATGAATAGTGCCTGCTGATATTCCATTCATGTTTAAATGAGTTGGTCATAAAATACTAGGCTAATCCGGTGTCAGTCGTTAGTTGCATTCGCGAATACAAGGTCAATCTTTCAGCGATTTCAATTCTAGTATGACCTTTATAATTTAATCCATTAAATCACCCCTTATGTAATACCATTGTGTTCACTTGTGAAGGACTAAGCTATTTATTAAATACTTAAAAAATGTTTTACAAAAAATATATACGAAATGTGCCAATATATTTTTGTTATTTACAAAATTACCGCATTTACTACAAATATAGTAACTAACGTACTGTACGTCGAATTAGTGTGTATTGCGTCCAGAAATATGATGCATATACGACACGTCACAGTATAGTGATTTTTTATTCTTAATATTGTAATGACCAATTATAATGATATTAGTTGATCTTGCAATAATTTAATTTGTACTGAGGTTAGTTTAACATATGTTGTAGGTGCACATGTTATGTTAATGCAAATGTGTATATGTGATAGGCATATACAGGTTGTTGTGTAATGATATTGTGCCAAATGCTTTTATAAATATAACAATTCTATCATAATCTGTTTTGCCAGTTGTTGTACATATAAGTCATATTACCTTGGCAGTCTCTAAGATTGAAGATACAGTCCCCTTTTTATTCTTCCTGCAAAGTGTATTTTAACGAATTACGTTTTTTGTCACGTTTTGCTTCAAATAAGTACATTCAAATTTCCTATTACTTTCCCATATACAGTCACTTGAATATTTTGTTTCTTCATTCTTTCTTATAGAACATTAAACACCGCTCTCAGAATCTGACATTGGCAAGTCTGTTGTAGTTGAAGATGAATAAAGCCCGGGTCACATTTGCTCCGATCCATCGGCCGGCGCCCGGCCGATTGAGTGTTTTGCTCAATATTGTATTCAATTTTGAACAAAATACTCAATTTGGCTGGGCGCCGTAAAATCGGGATCACCTCATTATACCGACGCGCATTATACCGAAACCCATTACACCGACGCGCATTGTGCCGAAAACTAACGGACATAGGCCTATGACCGATGCGCGTTGTACTGAAATCCGTGCCAGTAGGACGGCACATTGCAGTTTTTATGACGTGCGCTTCCGCGTGGGACTATATCTTTACAGCGGGAATTTCAAGTTTTTGTCAGTGTAGACATAAAAAGTTGCGGTCCTCATACTCGCGCGTTTTTCAATATTTTCATTTGAAACTCGCAAGAACAGTGCTTTGAATCTAGCTCTATACTCTTTCAAAACACCATGTAGACACATGATTATGTACATGTACAAACTTAATTCCAGTTAACCATCAATTTCTGTATTTCATAGAGGATAAATTCATAATTCTGTTATTTATGTTTGATTATGTTAAACCCTGTACCTCATAAAATATATTTAACTGTGGTAAATTCTGTATTCACTGAAGTAAATATTTATTTATACTTTATTGTTTCATTGGTAGAAATAAATAATTGTGCTATTTAATACTGTATAAAGTTTCACATTTCTTATTGAACTTGATAATCACTGTATTTTCGATCTTGTGCTGATGGGGCCAAGAATTGTTGTCATGGAGAGAGAGCAAGATATGCTGTCATGGAGATAGGAAGAAACGCATTCAATTGTTTTATTTTAGTCTTTCCAAATCCAAGTGTGATTTTTATCAATGTGTGCCTCAATGATCAATGATTAATTCTGAAGTCATTTCATTTTCTAACCATTTCACAAGCATTTCTTTACATATAATGCTTCTAAATTGGCATCATTTCCATGTTTAAATTGCTTATACAGTTTTTTGGCTACCGATATTATCTCTATCATCAGTTTTCATTCCACAAACGAAATATCAATTATTTTGCCCTATATTTCAGTTTCATTATTTTGAAACATTGAATACATGTTTTAATTGGCAGTTTAAAATGGTGCTATTTAAGTAAGTCCAATATTCAGCGTCCCTTTAATATCTATTTAGGGGCAAATCAATACTAGGCTTAGCAGGTCATCTGATTCTCAATTTGATTTTGATTTGAATTGATTCTCAATTGGGTCCATAGGGACTTTACCCCACCGTTCTTGGTTGAGTTTAAGTCATGGCTCTAATTGGTACATACATTAGCTACCCACGAATGCTGTTTTTCCTCCGAGACCTTGCAATAACTAACGAAAACAATGGTGTGGACATTTCTGGATTATTTCCGGTGTTTCCTTTTGTTGCTACCTCATTTCTCAAAGTATCCATGCCAATTTCTTGACTCTGTTGAAAGCCCATGGTCCAATCAACCGTACCTCCTTTTCTTATGATGACCGCACAAAATGATAGAGCGTGGGAACCGCGACTGTGCCAAATGCTACGGATATTGAAGCTATGTGTGTTGTGTTTTCAAGTGTTATTTTACACGGGATACTAGAGTATCCGCGTATATTGAGTATGACCGGTTCTTAGGCTACGAATATGACCTGTTTTGGAAAGTCATGAGAGGCACAGCTGCTTAAAAATGGAAAATAAAGGTTAACTTCTATATTATCCTTTTGAAATTGTGTTTGTTGAATATAGTTTATGCTGTATTTAATAGTAATGTAACAAAAAATGTTAAACACGAGCTATTTTAGCAATGTAACTGTTCTTAATGGATATCAATCAGAAAGTACAGATTTCTCGCCTTAGAGCCAAATCATTAATTCACAGTAGAAAAAAACAAATCCCAAACCTTTTTATGGCTAACCTGAACAAGATCTCCAAATCTCAGTTTATATGATCCCCCGTAGAGTGAGCAAGTCAGAGAAGGATTTATCTTTTCCCAGAGGATACGCTTGTGAAATGTCATGGAAACGAGTGTAACACGGCCCACTGATTGATGGGATCGAAATGTTGCCGGTGTAGAACATGTAGAATACGAGTGTATGCTCCTCAATAAGAGGTGTTACTGATGCTGCCATCTGAAAAATGTTGTATTTTAAGTTAAATAAGTAGTTTCAGCAATTTGGTTACAGAGTAATATGTTATATTTTCAAATACATGATAAACTTTTCTTTCCATACATTGTAATGTATTGGCATTAAACCTGTCTTATTATAGGTGATCTAAAAGCATATTTTGCCATTACTTTCGCCAACATTCTGAAATCGGGTCAACTGATTTAACCACAAATCTACAAAAGGTCTGAAATGGGACAACATAATTATAATCAAACAAGGCTATTGTTTTCGGTCTACGTTTAACTGAATTCTTTTGGGAAAAATAGGCTCTTGACACTATAAGTCATCTACTCTTATTTAGTTCTTCCCACTTTATATTGGAGACCTACTGCAAGCGTCTGAAGAGCCTCAACATTCTGGTATTTCGAATTACCTTTTGCATCTGTCACTGCTAAAAGTCGTATCCAAACACCGGTTAAATGCCGATCCAAGACATTTCACAACCGTATTCTCCAATAACGGGGCACCAGTGACATTCGTATTCTCAAAAATTCAAAGATGTATCATATTTGGACAGAGCAGGCTAAATTATTTAAAATATTCATGACTAATTCGTAGATCTAGCTATATATTATACATAAGATGTGTCATCCTCTTCGGAGTTGCGTTGTGTTACACAAAAACTGATCAAAGATGCTGGAAACTAGGATTTTACGGCTTCAATCTAATATTAATACGTTTTCTCTTGATTAAGGCCCCTTGTGATATGCCTGGCATTATAAGTATACCAAGTATCATTCATTGACCAAGTAGGATAAAAAGAAAACGTTCGAAAGTGTTCATAAAAAGCAAGTACTCACCTCGTCTGTTTATAAGGAACAGAAATACGGTCACACTCGTAAGCTTAGAACCGGTCATACTCAATATACGCGGATACTCTAGTTACCCGTGATTTTATATATGTCCGACAAATCGAATTATGGTTTTGATTCTATCTAGATGTATTTAATAGTATCGAGATGTCTCGTTCATTCATTTGACCAATAAAAATCATAACTGCCTGGAAAGTGATATGGATAAAGTATGTAAATAAATGAATTAAAACGTCAAATTAAGAAACAAAAGTCTTTTCTGGGTCACTGCGAATGGCATGATTTCCTCGAGTCTCTTCAGTTGCAAGGCAACCATACTGGGACCGATTCGCGTCGTTCCACTACTGCCCTTGGTGGGGGCCCGCTACCATACTATATGACTCCCGGAGTTTACTAAAGCACGTTAGTGGAGGAACCAACCACAGTCTCACAATCTGTCTCCGGCAAGAGCGGCCAGAGAACCAACCCATGCCAAGGGCCGGTAAACGGTTGGACCTTCGGACCGGGTGTCCGTAGTGACAATGATCAACAACTCCGTACCTGAGGCTCGAACGCGGGACCTCCGTATCCCAGGACGTTCAACCGCAAAGTAGCCTCAGTCTACGCCACTAGGCTACCCTGCTTAGGTGTCAAAACTGCTAAAAAATAATGTAGTTGTCACAATTATTTGCTTGGATAAACATGAAATTGCATTTCTTAATTGATTAATCTAATTTAGTTGGAATCGAAGTTCGACCAACGATCAAGGCAATGCAATCAACAACTCTTGCAAATGTGAACGGGAGTCTTAAACACAGAAAGTACAAGAATCGTGATCAATGTAAAGTATAATATTTAAGACACATCTTTGAATATCGGGTAGGAGAAACATTCCAAAATGAAGAAGAATCATTTGATTTGATGCCAATACATCAATTGCGTCTCAAATGAATGAAATAAAAGATATCGCGGGCCACTAAAGCCGATGAGTGAAAACAATTATAATTGACCCATCTAGATCGCTCAATATAACGGTAAGTGAATAGGTTTGTGTAGATATGTCGAGGAAAATAAGCTATTTCGACGCTTGAAATAATCTGATTACACTTATTAATAATTACGCGTGGCTTTTAAACACGAGTGTTGTGTAGAACTAAAACAAGAAAACTGAACGACCTATTAAGGAACTGTACTTCAGTTTCAAAGTGTTCAAGATATTTCCGCATGTTCAAAAACACAAACTTTATATTTTAGGCTATCCATATTTTGTCAGATATCTCCAATTCATATTACAGGGAA